GTTGTCGTCTAATGTGCTGCAAAATGTATCGTAGACTAAACAGAATGTTTATAAGGAGCTATTTCACATTTGTTCTCTAACACAGCTATCAATTGATGACGCGTTGCTGGGACTACAATCCTGATGCTCGGCCAACCTTTACCGAGCTGTGCCAAGATCTGGGAGACTGGATGCGAGCAGACACTTGTTGTATGGACATAAGCCAGTTGAACGAAGATCAACCCTACTATAACGAATCTACAGTATCAGTATCCAGCGGATTGTCGTACCAAGAGCATGCTTATGAGAGTCCTTCCTGATTCACACATGTCACCCGGATAATCTGACTCGCGATGTTTTTTTTAAAAGGAGAATGAATTTTCTGCAATGGAAAAGGAAGTGCGTCTAGGCTGATAATCATATTCTATTTTATTTTACTGCTAGTGTAATAATAAGGGAGGGTTTTAAAAAATCGGGGACGATGAACAGTATTTCGTAGAATAACGTAAAAAGCTTTTTATGTCCTTTTCGCTTGGTCCTGCATAACTGACACGTTAGAATAGGAAATAAATAAACGATCTATTCCCTGTCTGCTTTTTTGGTCTATCTCAAATGCCTATATTTGATCCACTTGCACGTGACATATATGTCGATTGCTGGCCTATAGACGCTATTCATAAATGGCTGCCAACATAAAATTCTTTTGTATACATCTAAATTACCGTATTTATTCGATTAAGCGCCCAACCTCGAATAAGCGCCCACCCTGAAAGTCCAAATATTAAATAAGCGCCCTTGGCGCTTAGTCAAATAAATACGGTAGCTCAACTATCCTCGTTTCAGAGTAAAAGATCTCTTGAATTATTAACTCAAAAACGAGTTAGTTGGGCTAATTTTAATACTTACAAAAGAATTTTTAATTGGCGGCCATTTATGAATAGGGTCTATAACAAACTGCAAATGTGCTCAGAAACTTCCGTCATGTTCCATTGTTCACCGTGGCACGTTCGACTGTTTAACCGACTCTGAGCTAAGATTCTCAGTTCGTTTAAATTGAAAAGGATATTGCCAAGCAGTGTATGCAAGGTAGCAGCCGGCAGTGTATGCACGCTTTGACCTTTAACTAAAGAAATAAATTCAACCAAGCTCAAACGGCGCGTCATCACTTTTCATAAACCTGCCAAGGTCAGCTGATGCTACTCTTCTCACGGACTCCCAAAAACAAAAGTGCACAAAAATTGCACTGACGCCTTGATATTTAAAAGGACATCAAAAAGAACAATTCACGTCAGTCATTCTTAAAGCGTGTCACCAGTTTTCATAAACCTGTCAAGCACAAAGTTCCTTTTGCTTTTCTCGATGACCCCCGTTAAAGAATCTTGGCGTGAAACGTGCACTGTTGCCTCGACATTTCGTTAGATCAAATAAATAAGAAATCATTTCTAACTGCGACATCATGTAAATGAACCTGCCAAGTGACTCCCACAAATTTGTTCTTATGTCAGCTCTAAAAATAGCACTCGCTACACTTACCTACTACTAAAATACTCAGTATACGGAGAAAGAAGGCTTAGATCCTGTAAATTTCGTATTTAATGGTGCCTTGGAGGTCGCAAACGCAGCTGACGCAGTTGAAAACGGAAACCAACCGGTACGTACGTCCGGTGCACCTGAAATTTGAATAAATCAACCAGGATTCAGCAGGCAAGAAAAACTGTCCTGTCCAGACTTCAAATATTTGTTAACATGAGAGGCATTGTAGTCAGGAACCTTTTCTCACTGAAGACGGCATTAAATATTCACGAAAATGAATTTCTAAGTCTAACAAACCATATCGGGTCGTAAAAAGTCAGTCGATCAAGAGATGGTTTGCACGATTTTTACTTGGCAGATTGTATAATATACAATATTTTCCCGTGACAGGTTTGTGTGTTTACTAAAGCTTATATACATACCTTTATAAACCTGTTTCTTGTGGCTTGTCTCTTACGTACCTTATCGAAATCATATTGAATACTGTCTAACGTACAGGATAAGTCAGAAAATGATATACTGGTTGAAAACAATATTTTATTCTAAACTTTAAACATCAGGAACGTGAAGGCATGATTGATCATCGCAGTTATATGG